TTAAAAATTATAGTGTTATTAGTGATGCGGTCGGTTCGGACGGTTCGTGTTGAAAATTTTTTAACCCGATCCGAACCGACCTACAAACAAAACCGACCCGAACTGTTAATTTTCAGTCGGTTCGGTCAATTTTTTCGGTTTAGACCGAACCATGCACAACCCTAGTTTTTAGTAACACTCTCATATCTTACAAATTTACAAACCTAGATCTATTAAGAGGATGTTTGGAAACACTTATTTTTAAAAGCTTATAAATTATGTTGGCTTTTAGTTGCTTTTAGATTTTATGATAAAAATACTATAAAATTTGTTTGGGTAGAATATTAATTTGTTTGGTCAAACATAACTTATAAAGGCGAGCTTATAACTTATAAGTTAGTTTTTTAGAAGCTGAGGTACACCCGCTTTTAAAAATGACACTTATAAGCTAACTTATTTATTATTTTACCAAATGGGTAGAAATAAAAAAGCGAGCTTAAAAGCTAATTTGACCAAAAAAATAAGCCTCCCCAAACACCCTCTAAGTTGCTTTAAATAAGATCATTTTTTCGGATAGATATAAACATTTGGCGTCTAATTTAGAAAAGATGAAAGTTGAAGGGTTGAATATAGAATTAAGGAAGATGTGGGGTCTAATTAATATGACAAACCCTTGCAAATTATGAGTAGTACTTTACATATTGTCAATAATTGTGCGGCCGAGAAAAGCTGATAGTTTCAAAGATGGCAGTGCATTTCCATTTTCAAGCTTGAGCGTCGACTTTCAACATGTTGTAAAGTCACCTATGAGGAAATAAAAATAAAAATAGGGTGAATACATTGAGAGCATAAATATAGTCTATGTATTATCTTCTATAAGTTACTAATATTTGAATTGTAAAAACTTTGCATATAAGCATGTGATCTCGGTTAGCAAATATGCTACCATAAATTTGACTGGAAGCAGGTATATTAGATGTTTTTAGGAAAGATCTCTCATGCTGCACCAATCGATCAGATTCAAATGAAGATTGATCAGGAAAAACCGTGTAGCTCGACAATCATCACGCAAATATGCGAACAAAAAGAAAAAAAAAAGTGATCATCTAATTCACTGCATGATATCTTCTTCTAATGGTTAAGTCAGGCGCTTGACGAAGAGAAAGTAAAATAAGAAGATTTAGGATTCAATATTCTGTGTAACTATCTCTTCAAGAGGCTAATTTGACAGTGTTCTAGAATTTTATCATGATTACGTCAAAGTTCTTTGATGCCATCATTCTAGCTAGCATGAACTGTGATACTGCAAAATTTGTTAGATTTGGTGCGAAAGTTATGAAGCATATCTATAACTTTCTGATATACACTATTACGGTCACTGTATTTTTCGTTTCGTCCTGTGTATTTACATCGATCCCTCAATTATGCTACTTGCTACTTGCTTAAGAGATATTTTCTTCTTTTTATTAGTCCCCCCCTTCCTATCTCATTTACCTGCTTTGGGTAAATGAGAACCCATTGTCCGTGAACTGATAAGAAAAAACTTGGTGCTAAATTTAACTCCAGATTTTAACCGAATATCATGGTTGAAGTCATGAAACAAATACCAGTTCGACCTTTAGCTTTAAGTGCGTATCAACTAAAGAAACCTAGTTTATGCAGAAGTTCAGTGGAGATCTATAATATATCAACCAAATATTATTTGGAACCTTAGTGTTTGGAATTCATCAGTGACACTATCTCTGTTATTAACCTGGTCCTTTTTATAATCTCCGATTAAATCTTGCTGATGTGGTGATGAAGTGGTCTGTCATCTCAGCGAAAAAATTAGTGAAAGCTCAAGCTTTCCAACTACATCATTGTCACATCTAAAAAAATAGTGAAATTACAAGTTTGTATTAAACTTGGATTTTTACTTATTTTTTTTTGCTGACATTGTAGCAATGACAACACCACATCATTACCATGTCAACAAGATTTAGGGGAAGTTCGTAAAAATGACCTAGGCTGATGATGAATGTAACAGTAAGGACCTACACTTAAGGGTGTCCAAAAAGCCCGGAGCCCGGGCCCGGCCCGGGCCCGGCCCGGTCGTGCCCGGGCCCATACATATATGAAGTCTCTTCATTTCTTGCATGTATCTAGGGGTGTCCAAAAAGCCCGGAGTCCGTGCCCGGCCCGGTGTCCGGCTCGGTCGTGCCCGGGCCCGGGCCCGGGTCGCCGTTGACGAGCCCTGTCCGGGCCCGGCCCGGGCCCGGAACAGTGCCCAAATTGGGCACTGGGGCTTCGAATGTCCGGGCCGGCCCGGCCCGGGTCAAATCTGGCCTAACGGTCAGATTTGACCTTTTGACCGTTTTGCCACTTAAAACGGTCAAAAAACGGCTATTTTTCGAGGGTTTTTTGGTCATTTACCTAGGGGGCTGCTTCTATAAATAGAGGGGGGTTTCAATTCATTTTCTCACAACAAAACTCATCTATTTCTCTCTCTACTACTCTCTTATACAATCTTATACTATCTCATACTAATATACTATCCTATAATCTTTTGTATTTTCTAATACTTCCAACAAATGGCTTCTGGGTCTGATTATGAAGAGCAACATGCAACTCCTACCGATCCAGAGATGAGTCCTCCTACAACAACTCCTCCTCATCCTACCGGTGTTAATCCTGAATCTGGTGGCGACGAATCTACGGCACCAAGAGCTCCAAAAAGGCCGAGGTCTGATGTATGGAATTTTTTTGAGAAGATAGACGTCACCAAGGATGAACACGGTAGGATCATCTCTCAGAATGCGAAATGTGCGTTGTGCGGCCAGATATTCAAAGCTCATCATAAGAGAGGCACCAACCATCTCAAACGACATATTGAAAAACACAACAAAGGCCAAAATCTACAAGGTGATATCCGGCAGTCTATGCCAAAATCTACAAGGTGATAATTGTTGAAGAACTTACGAAACTAGAAATTGATCAAAGAATATTTACTCTTTCACTATATAATGCAAGTAATAATAATGTAGCTGTTGATTTTCTGAAAATAACTTTGTCATTGCCATGTCATGGTGAGCTTTTTCATGTTAGATGTATCTGTCATATTTTAAATTTAATTGTTCAAAGTGCATTTTCTGAAATTAAACCCATGATAGAAAAAGTTAGAACAGTTACTAATATGCATAATGCTTCTGAAATGAGAATTAAAAGATGGAAACAATGTTGTAAAAGAAAAAATTATAAGCCTAGACTAATTCCAAAAGATGTTGACCATAGGTGGAATTCCACCTATGCAATGTTATCTGTAGCAATAGAATATAAAGAAATTATAAATGATTTTATAAATTTTTATGCTTCTAGTTCTAGCTCTGGTAGTGCTTATGGAATAACTGAAGATGAATGGACAGTTATATGTAAATTAAATGAGATGTTACAAGTTTTTTATGATGCTACTATGTTATTATCTGGTTGTTATTATCCAACTATTACTTTAGCTGCTTTACAAATTTTAAATATTCAAAAAAATTTTACAAAATATCGTATGGATGATATTTTTGGAAGTATAATTTTTGAAATGGAGAGTAAATTTAATAAGTATTTTAGGCCTATTCCTCATATTTTTGGTATTGGTGTTCTTATTGATCCATGCTTGAAGGAAATTGGCCTTCGAAGTTTGTTACAATCATTGTATGGTGGACAGATTATAGACTTAGATGATGGATCCACCCTTACTGCTACTACTCATTATTTAGCTATTAGAAATTATTTTCAAACCTTATATGATGAGTATGCAGCTAGATATGGTGTAGCTACACAACAGTCTTCAGCTTCGGCACCTTCAGCTTCGAGCACAGGTCGAGGTAAAAGTGTAAGTTTTGATAGGTATGCAATGGTAGCTGAACTAACTGGTGGATCTGGAACTTCATCAGGATTAGATGTTTCTGAAATAGATGAATATTTTTCTGCTTCTTTAGTTAGATGTCAAGGAAATGCTTTAGATATTTTGCAATGGTGGAAAGTATATGGATCAGTTTCATATCCTATACTTTCCACCATGGTTCGTGACTTACTATCAGTGCAGGTTTCGACTGTAGCCTCGGAATCCGCTTTCAGCACAGCAGGACGTTTGATCGACGACCACAGGACATGCTTAGATCCGTATACTGTACAAGCGGTGATGTGCTTACAGGATTGGTGGAGATACGAGAAGCGAACACAAGGCATCGAACGGATTGCTATGATTGAAGATAAATTTGAAGAGTTGGGACTAGCAGATAGATATAATGATTAGATAATATTCATAAAATTGTAATTTTTATTTCTTAGCTTTAAATTTGAATTAAATTATTTCGAAAAAAGTTGCAAATGATAGTGATATGGGTGAGTAGGTGCCAACCTAGTTGGGATGTACTCATCTATTGTGATGCGACGAATTTCGAAATAAATTTATACTTGTAAAGGATTTACCGATTATTAATAAAGAAGTTATTTTTATCATTTTTTGTACTTGTAATTTATGTCATTTCATTTCAAGTTATTAATTAAATTTATGACATTTTTTATAATAATTTATGATTTATGGTTTTGTTAAAATTTTAAAAAAATAAAAAAAAATAAAAAAAAATTTATAAAAAAAACAAACCGGGCCGGCCCGGTGTCCAGCCCGCTCAGGCCCGGGCCCGGCCCGGACCACCCGGGCCCGGGTCCGGGCTTGGGTTTTGCCCGGCCCGGGCCCGGTTTCCCGGGCCGGGCCGGGCCGGCCCGGCCCGGATGGACAGCCCTACCTACACTGATAACTTTCAAACATTAAGGACCAAAATGATTTTCTGGCCAATGGCATCAAGGACCCCGCTGAAGTTATACCTTTAGTTTGTATACTGCATGTCTTTTAGACAGTGAGCACAAGGGCCATACGTCATAAATAGCTGACAAAATTGTGGATACATAATCGAACTCGGATCAAATTAAAATCAAAAAGTAGAGAAATACAGTACATAACTTGCAGAAACCAAAGGATACAAGAACACTAACAGGAAAAAGAACCATCTGCCTATATCAACTATTAGATGAGCATCATAGGCTTAACAACATTAACTTCATATAATAATAAAAAACAATATGCAAATCTCGAAGAAAATACCTTACAATGTATTCAAGATTGAGATACATAGATTACAAATTTGAGAACTCGCATACAGAGAAATCACAGCTACGACTCGATAATACTCTTGAAGCAGTATGTACCAATAATAAACCAACCAACAAGAACAAGCGTAAAACCAACCAAAGCCACCAAGAAGTTCAAACCTCCCAATAAAAGTCCTAGGCAGGAAACCACCACAAACGGCAACAATGATCTTGCTGCCGATGCTTTGCTCACCCAAGTACCTTTGAAGAACATCAAAACTGCTAGATTCACCACATTCCATTTTTTGTGCCCGTCATAGATCATTTGGTTTAGATTGTTAGACACAAAAGAGTGACAGTTGCAGGTGAAAAGGCCATAATTTTTATGCTGAAACTCTTGCATGCTCTTCTTGAGTGTATCATCCCAGGACATCATTTCGTTATGCTCTGTCCATTTATAGCACTGAAAACGAAGAAAATACAGTTAGGTAAATATTTCAAATGGGCTGCCCCAAAATATATATTGACTTTGGGTATGTTTGGCAACCGGAAAGTAAATGTTCAAGAGAAAGTGTTGTCTTGTTACTTTCTATTTACAAGATCTTGTTTCGATGATAGAACGTGAAGGAAATGGATAGTCGAGATAATAGTTGATGTGACATACACTTGCTTTATGTTCTGTTTGGTTGTCACAGAAAGTGAATGGTGGAAAGTGGATATCTAAAACTGAAATAGGAAAGAGAGAAATTCACTTTCCATACACCCTCTCAAAGACCTGGAGAAAGTAGGAACTAAAAAATGTTGTTGCGACACCCTTAAGAACTAAAAAATGTTGTTGCGACACCCTCTACTTTCTGGTTACTTTATGGCCACTTTCCAGTTACTTTATGGCCACTTTCCAGTATTTGGTCTATTTACTATTTATTTTCTAGTTGCCAAACACTCCAAGGAAAATAGTTAACCTTTTCTTTGTTTAGTTGTATGTAACGGGCCACTGCACCAAACGTGAAATTATCTACGCATACAAAGTTTGGCCCAGCAAAGTCCAAGATCACTCCATCTTCTCTGCAAATGCCAACGTGACCAATGAAAGGTATGAACCAAGAGATCAGGGGTAGAGGAGTCCATACAAGGCAACATGGGAATCGAGCTCTCCCAGGATCTATTTGCCCAGGTGGCAAATGTCTTTCTACCATTGGGTCATTCTCGAATGGCGTGTCTGACTCCATAGGCATTGCTCTCAATAATCAAAATGGTGGCAACTGCAAGATTATGTCACAAAAATAAATTTAGAAAATACATAAGCACATCTAAAATATGGCAAAATGTTATCTAAATAAGAAATAAAATGAAAGGCATAAAAAAGGAAAGAATTTTGTAGGAAAAAAGTGCCATATGGCAAGCAAAGACAGAGGAAGGAAATATGTCGAAGGTACATACAATAATGAGGTTAATCTGATAGCAATAGTGATATTGAGAATACAGTCGGTTGGCCCCCCCCCCTTGCGCCTAAATGAGATGCCATTAGAAGATACCATATATATATATATATATATATATATATATATATATATATATATATATATATATATAAGATTAATGGGGTATCCTTGTCATAGGAGGGGATTTCCTCCTTGACGCCTCTAAAATCACATGATTGAGCCGACATCGTGGATGATCCGCTCCGTTGCTTGATCTACATATTCTAAAACCCCAACACACCAAGTTTAGGTGAACCCGTTGTCGTTTGACCCTTCATCCCACTCGTATCAATTTTAACGGTTTGAATGAATAGAACTTTTCACATGGCTCGATGGAGGGTCAAACGACGAGGATTCACCCCAACTGTGTGTTGGGGTTTTAGAATATGTAGATCAAGTTTAACGGAGAGGATCATCCACGATGTCGCTCAATTCATGTGATTTTAGAGGCGTCAAGGAAGAAATCCCCTCCTATGACAAGGATACCCATTAATCTATATATATATATTTATATATATATATATATATATATTATATAATATTATATTATATATATATATATATATATATATATATATTTGGGTGACCCGGTAAGGCGCTTTACTTGGATAGGTAACTTTCAAAGCCACAATCATGCTGCTATTGGTAAGCCCTGATTCTCGAATACATATCCAGCCAAATCAGTTCTACTTAAACAACGTCAAATGGGATATAAATTAAGTTGAATTTTAGTAAAGCATTTACAAACATATAAATCTACGTATAGAAAGAGGATGACTAAAATGACGGCTTTGTTGCTACTTAGCAGTCCATCTAAAATTCCATCATGAACCAGAGGAATCACTTTTCTCATTCCCTAAAATGTTTATGAGTCCTGTTAAGATTCCTGCAATTTTATAACCTTCTGCCATGCCAGACAGCTTAAAATCTTATAATGGAACGACGGATATGATAACGGATGATCAAATCATCCCACCATTCACAGTGATTTCATGCTTAAGGATCTGCCTCATTTCTAGGGTCTCGAATGGTTAAACCTAAAAATAAATGATTTAAGAGCCTAGTGTTTAGCTCATGATCGAAGTCAAGGATTAAAATTTTGCATCCCCCAAACAACAACATGCCAAGCTCAGGTGATATATCTTCCTAATTCCAAACCTGAGTTCAATAAAAGCCAACTGCACATTGAATTTCTGAAAAGAATAATTTTGTATGGTCCCACCAGGAAAACAAACAAGTACTAACCATACTTATCTTGTCCACCTTGCTAAAAAAAAAGGTTTTGACAAATTCAGGATAGAACTTCTTTTAACTTTGGGCCAAGTGCATTTTTAAGTTGACTGGAGACATCAAAGACTGGAGACGTCAAAACACCTCATAGCTTCCACATAATTAAGTAGGCATTCATGCTGCATGTTCCCATTTCTGGGATAAGTTTTCGCTACACCTAAGCAACATCACAAGTCTAAACCTTCATTCTGAAGAGGGTTAGCATCTTACTATACGAACATCAATCTTCCTATACGAGTACAACCATCATTAATTAAAGCATTAGAAATATTATGAAGTATAGAAGTTAGGTCCTTTACAATAAATTGATCTAACGATAAAAATGAGGTAATATAGGTATACACATGTTATTTAAAAATGTACATACGTACAAGGAAAAAGCTAGTTATTTAGTTGGGCTCATGAAGACATTGAACAGAAGAATATTAATGTAACATTGTTTTACATCATAATTGACAGACAATTTCATATGCCTAGGTACATCGAGAGATAAACACTTTACCCAAAAGAAGAACACTAAAAACTTACACCCTAAGGTACCGTTTGGCAAAGGGTTAAGTGAGGGGTTAAGGAGACTTAACCCCTTCTTAACCTGCCAAACACAACAAATCTATATAAGGGTTAAAGTGAGTTAACCCTCCATAATTTGCCAAACATAAAAATTATAGAAGGGTTAAGTTAACCCCTCTAGAGGGGTTAAAATGAGTTAACCCATCAAAATGAGGGGTTTACTAATACTCCTATTTAGATGGAATAAGAGTTAACCCTTCTAATTATAAAGAAAATAGTAAAAATCATTGTTATTCCCAAACACTAAAACTGATCATAAGGGCTAAAATAAAACTTATTTAACAGGTTAATAATTTAGTCCTTCGGATTATCAAATGGGCTAAGTACATTAATCCTTCTCTTTAACCCCTCTTCATTAACCCTTTGCCAAACGGAGCCTAAAGGCTAGCGCATATTCAAGTAACTTTTTCTCAACGAGACAGCGAGAAACAAACCACCCAGCGTTTTTACGTAAACATCAAGATAATCTATTGCCGAAATCCTTGTAGCGTTTATCCGAGCAGACTTTAATGACTATGACAAAATAGGCTCAGGTCTGGTTCAGTGAGGATTGAAACGAAATCAACTAAAAGGTGATTCACCCAAATCATGCAGATACTTAAAAAGTAGGAAAAAAAACTAATATTAATAATTTATCCTGTTTCACTTTCATCTCTATTATTGTCGAGAACCTTTGTTGCGCAGTTTGGATTTCAATCTAACTCTTGATTTCACGAATGTTTACATTCTGGCACTAGTTTCCAACCGGTAAAGAATGGGAAAACGCAGAGAAATAAAACCCTAGAGAGCAGCCTTCGCTGGAGATCGTACCGTAGCCATGGAGGTTATGATCGATAAAAAGCAGGGTTTGCCATCTAAAAACTAAAATTTGTTATGATTTCCATGACGATGAATTGTGAGAAATTGGGATTAAAACTGAGACCTTCGACTAGGGATCTAATAAATTAGGCGTGCTCGAGCGTAAAAATCTAGGGTTTTGGGGGGTTCAGCGATTTGCATACCAGAGTCGCGAGATGGTCGGGTGCGGCCTTCAGGGAGCAGCCTCGTTCACGGGCCCAGGATCGACGCAAAAGGTAAGCACCAGGCCCGGCGAAGGTTACGACTGCTACTATTGCTAATAACCCCTCCGCGCGCCCCTCCTTTCTTTACTTTTTCGCTAAATATCAGATAACCCCCTTAACTTTGGAAGCTTATCAGAAAATCCCCGTAACTTTGAAAATTCCAGAACCGCACACTTCTTTGGTAGTGGGTATTTAAAGGGTAAGGTGGAATAGAGTAAAGTGATGTGAGAAGAGAGAGAAAATACAAAATGAACTAGAAAGTAAAGAGTGGGAAAATCCCTCAAATTTGCAGGGACACAAGAGTGAAGAAAGAGAAGAAAAGATACAAAATAAACTAAAAATTAGTGTGCCTCCCCTTACTCCCTCTCCAACTAAACAAGAAAGATAAAAGGTACATCACTTTTTGCACCTCATTAAACCTTACGTTACCTTACATTTCCTCGTTGTACCTCCTACTAAATCAAGAGTATAGGGATTATCACAAAACCCCCTTTAATTTTTATCAGAAAAGTCTCTTTGACTTTGAGGTTTTATCAGAATCCTCCAATTAAAATCTCAAAGTTAAAGGGGATTTCTGATAACTTCTCATAACCCCTTAGCTTAAAAGGGTCATGTTATATTTTCAAAGTTATAGGGGCTATTCGATAATTGTTCGAAGGTAAGGGGGAGTTTTTCTGATATTTAGCCTTGTTTTTTCTCCTTTTCCTTTTCTTTTTGGGACCTGCAAAATGATAATTGTGTCCTATTATATTTTCGTCGTGTCACCATGCTCTAGATTTTTGCAAACAGGTTCTGTTTCTTTCGTTAAATACATTGGGAAAGTCATCAAGTTCATCTATATCTATATCTATACTACTTATAAAAGAGGATACCCATGTCAAAACTTTTGATTTCTTTTTTTACCCCCTCAGCTTTTTATAACTTATAATTATACCATTATTTGTAAAACTAATGATCCATAACATTTCATTAACTATGCACATCTTCATTTTCTCAAATTATTTGGTCATTCATTAGTATATAGTAATAATCTATAATCATAATAAAATTCATAAATATGTTGCAATTTATAAAGAATTGTTAATTAGCTAAACTTTTAAATTATTTATTTAATAAATTATTGTACATAATTATAATGATTAATCTTAAATTATATTATACTATTATAAAAGAGTAATGGGTGTTTAAGAGCAATGGTACTCCATTTATAGAGGAATGAGATGCTCTTAAGAGGAATGGTACTCCATTTATAAACGAATGGAGCATCATTCGTTCCAATGGTACAACTGTAGTACCCTCTATATTAAGAGGGTGCTACAGTAACCTTCTATATTTGAAGGTTTTGGGCTCATATAGAGGGATCCCTCTAAAATACTATTCATATATTTTAATTTCAATTTTGCCTTCCCATCTCATTTATAACTTTTTATAAATACCAATTGTATCCTTGAATATAATTAAACTAATTATTTAACTTAATATACTTTTAAATTTACTCTTCTATTTTAAATAAAAATTATACACTGAAATTGTCTTGCCGAAACCTTCAAAATGAGACTAATATTTAATACTTTTAATATTAATTTCAAATGTATCATTATAAAATGTTGAAGTACAGAGAATTTAAAATACATCAAGCTTAAAAAAATTACATTGTTCCATTACCATGTCTTTGCCATAAATGTTCAATGAGTGCATTCCGAAGTTCAAAGTGAGCCTCCTGATCTTGGATTTTCCTATGTCGAGCGAGGAATCGTCTTAATCTTTCATCGTCATTGTCATCCACCTCGTCAGCATTTGAAGGTTGAGTTGAATCAACATTATCTAGTTCTTCTTCACGTTCATCCTCCACAATCATATTGTGTAGTATTACACAAGCAGTCATGATGTCATGTAGCACTCGTTTATCCCAAAAACGTGTTGATCCTTTCATGATGGCAAAGCGTATTTGAAGTACTCCGGTAGCTATGGAAATAACCTGCCGGAATTTTAGATTGTTGTTACCATATTTTACTTATATAATATAATTTATGTATTTCTGAATGTAGTTCCTTTGGGGCGGGTTATATAGATCCCCACGTATTTATTTTATTAACGAATATTTTTATTTTATTATATTAAAATAAACTAATTTAAAAGCGACTCTAAAAATATTCAATATTAATCTCATTTAAAATATTTTGGCGAGACGGTTCTAAAGGTATAATTTTTGTACAAAAAATAATAAGTTTTAATTATTTCATTTACATCATTAGTTTGTTAATGATAGATTAATTCATATAAGTATAGAGAGTGATCCATTGGAGCACAACTTTTACAAACCCTTTATATTTGAGGAATCTTGAAGAATATTCTCTTCAAACCCTCTAAATATAGAGTATACCATTGGAGATACTCTAACTTTTGCTAGAAATAACCTCAATAATAAATTCAATTGACAGCAATAATATCAATATGAATATGAAAAATGATATTTCTATGCATATAAGAAAAGTGGATAATGCATACGTGAATATATATCAAGTTTAATATTATCTCATATAATGCTAATGAAGAAGTAATTCTCTCACATAATATTAATGATACCAAAACGACATACATTTTCCCTTTGAATCAGCATGTAATCAAAATTAGTGGATGTATCAGTTACATGAAGGTCGAACAACATCTTAAACAACTATTGACATGCTCTAACTGAGCATTTACTTAATAAATCAACCCCCTCCAACTTTTTCCTTCTTTTCATATTCTAACCCATATATAAGTGCCTTCCTCCCCTACCTCCTCTTATTAAATTAAACTAACAATCAATCAATATAACTTAGTACTATTATTCATGCTTTTTTTCTTCTTGCTGCTCTTCTTTGCTCTACCAATGCAACTACATTTTGGGAATTTTGGGTTTTGAGGATCAACTGTTGTGCTTCGGCCACGATGGCAGTCGTGGTAAGCTTGGCAATGGTGATGGAGTATGCAATCATCCAGTGAAGATGGTAGTGGTGGACTTAGCGATGGTGCTAACGGAAGCACGTGGGCCTGGGTACAGTTCAGGCAGTACAGTGAGCGTCGACGCCCTGGCCGAGCATGAAGGTGGGGGAGGAACTTGCAGCATAGCCAAACTTTTAGGTAGAGGGGAGCCAGCGATGATGTCAATGAAGCTAGGCACGGCGGATGAACATATGGTGGTGTGGCTAGAGTGGGTTTACTTGATTGCCTTGGTTCTTATTTTACTGGCTGTATATTGCCCAACTTATAAGGTTTAATTAATTCCATTTTGTGAGTTTGTTGTTTTTAAAGAGAGTTTTGTCAATAATTGAAATGTTGTAATTGTTTGTCAATAGTTGAAATGTTGTAATTGTTCTTTCAAAAAAAAAAGAAATATTGTAACTGCCTTCTTTCACTTTTTTTTCATGTGTGTTTATTATGATAAGGATAGAATAATAACTTGGATGAAAATTAATGGATACGTATCATGTGCTTGTGGATTTGAATCACCATTGATTGTATTTAACTTTTTATAAATTTAAAAAGTTGTTAAACCATTAATCTATTTGTTAATTTATAACTTTAATGTGGTAAAGTAAACTAACATTAAAATGATGAGAAATAAAATTAAAGTTGTAAAAATAATAATATGACTAAATTTACAACATCTATACTACTTGTAAAAGAGAATACCCATGTTAAATCTTTTGATTTCCTTTTTTACCCTCTCAATTTTTTATACTCAAAATTATACCATTATTTATAAAGCTAATGACCCATAACCTCTCATTAACTATGCACCTCTTCATTTTCTTAAATTATTTGGTCTCACTAGAATATATTAATAATTTATAATGATAGCTCATGAATATATGATAATTTATTATAAATAATTATTAATTATATAAGTAAAAGTCATTCATTTAATAAATTATTGCACATAATTATAATTATTAATAATAGTATAAACAACAACTATTTCTTTATGTTGTAAAGAATATTATCTTAGTAATTAAAATTTGGATGTTATAAATAAAAAATAATTTTATTTTGGAAAATTAATTTATATTAAAAAATGTTGTATCCTTGAAATTTATGAGACATATACTTTTCTCTTCTTTTTCTCAATATATTTGGTTACTCGCTAGAATAACTTAATATGATAATAAAAATATATTATAATTTGTTGTAAAAGAATTATTAATTGTAATAAAATAGTAAAATTATTTAGTTAATAAAATATTTTATGTAATTATAATTATTAATAATATTATAAATTAGGATTAATGTTTTATATTATAAAGATTTATTACCCTTTTCGATATTATAATATCATCTTAGTAATAAAAATAGGACATTATGAATTAAAAATAATTTTATTTAGGAAAATCACTTTATATAAAAATATTGGACCTTTGCAATTTATGAGTCATGCACTTTTTATTAGACAGTAAATGTTTCGTAAATTTCAAGGATCGAATATTTTTATATAAAATACTTTTTCTAAATAATACTATTTTTAATGTATATCATTCAATTTTTTTACTTCTAATACGATTAAATAGGGAAAATGTGTCGGGCTCCAAAAGCAGAAACTTCATGTGCTGCAACCCCTTCTAGTTTCCCCTATGTGGTTCAGCCCCTTGAAGTGTGATATTTTGTGCTGTAGCCCCTTTTAGCAATTATTACATGTCAGCTAAGCTTAAATCCCCAAAATATCCTTATCCCCTCCCCTCAATCCCTCAGACCCAGCACTCATATCCTCTCTCTCATCTCCTCTCTCTCCTCTCTCTCTCTCTCTCTCTCTCTATAAAATCAATGTTTTTCTCAAGCTCGTCGCCCTGGCCCTCGCCCTCCTCGGCTGTCGGCCGGCCGTCCGCGCGCAGGCCGCGCGCCAAGCGCCCCTTGGGTTCGTCGCCACCGTCCACTCCTCTCCAGGTCCGCGCCAATCTCGTCAATCGTAGCTTGCCGGCCGCACTTTCCGCCCGCCCCCCGCTCGGCCCTGCAACGTATGGGGCGTGCGGGTTGCGCTGTTGCCGCTCTTTGCCTCGCCCTCGAGTTCACCGCCGCCTCCTCCCCGCTCGACCTTCGAGTTT